ACTTTTTAATATTAATAATAATTCGAATTAAATTTTAATTCAAATAAATTTTTTAATTCAAATAAACTTTTTAATTCGAATAAAACTTTTTAATTCGAATAAAATTTTTTAATTCAAATAAACTTTTTAATTCGAATAAAACTTTTTAATTCGAATGAATTTTTTAATTCGAATGAATTTTTTAATTTGAATAAATTTTTATTCAAATAATTAATTCGAATTAAAGGTCATCTGTATTACAAATAATTTGAATAAGAATTTGTATTACTAATAGAAGCCCTACTTAAACCTGATACAGAAAAAAAAAACTTTTTTTTTAATTGAAAACAAAATGGACAATCTGTCATGTGAACACATATATGGGGGTTCTCTAGCAAAAGTCATATTAAAAAATTCTTTGACTGATTTTTTTATTAAGTAAACATGACCTGATCTTTTCACCAGTTATAATCCTTATAATATAAATGCATATTATGCAAAAAACTCAATTTTGGTCAGGTGACACTTAAGCTACCTTTTGCTAGAGAACCCCCATATACTTAATATACCCTCATAAAAAGGATATAAGTATATTAAATAAATAAATATAAAAAAAAAAACAAGCAAGTAAATCATGAAAAACATAATAAATGAACAATAAAAGCAAATAAAGAACTATTAACAAAATTGCTGATTTAGAAAAGCAGTTAGCTGATAAAGATCAAGAAAAAGAACAATCAATAGAAGAGCTTAAATTAAAAATCTGGCATGTTACTGGTCAGTCTATTGATGGAAATGGTGAAGTTAGTATGTATGCTCCTAAGGGAACATGATGATACAAGAAATTAAATAAGAAATGATTAGATGAAGGAAAGTTAATAATGTCAGTAGATCCTAATGAAACAAGAGAGTGAGCTAAGAATTGCAAAAGAATTTGGTTTGACAATATCACCATTGAAGAAATGTTAGATGGATTTCTTGATAGTTCAAATCAACTAGGTTCAAAATGCTTAGAATATCTTGGTTGGTATACAGAGAAAGGTCACCAACTTACTGAACAAAAACAAGAATATGAAGTGAAAATTAAGGAATTAGAAGAAGAGAAAAAGGAGTTGGAAGAAGCATTAGAATTAGAGGAGGAAACATCTGAATGTCATTTAGAGGCTCTTGAAGTAGCTAAACAGTGGAGAATAAGACAAAGTAAAGAAAAAATAAAAAGCTTTGAGAAAAATAAAAGTTCTAGAAAATATTGTGGAATGACAGAATTATTTGGCAGACAAGCAGCTTCAAGAACTACCAGTTTTACCAAAGAAAGAAAAACTCCTAACTAACAAAGTAAAGGACAAAGTTAGCCAGTAAAAGAAATAACTTGAGAAAAATTTGAAATATATATCTTGCAAAAGAATAAATAGCATGAAATTAGAATACCAAGTTAATGAGCTGAGGAGAGGAGATAAATGGCATTGTAATTTCTGTCCTTTTGAAAGAGAAAGGAGTTTAACTGCTACTTACAAA